CCCATGTTTGACCTAAGCACTGCAGCCTGGTCCATGGCCCTGCCTCTCCCAAGCGGCAGCTCCAGTTTCTTCTGCCTTCCTCTCCCCTGTCTAGGACAAAGGCCCCGTCACTCAAGGACAGGACAAATCTATCCAAGACTAATAAATGAAGTATGACAAATTTGTTCATGTTTAATGCCTGTAGCGGCGCCCGATGACAGTTCTATCAATGTCGTTCATGTCCCCAGAGTTGTACTGAAACACTAATTTGGTGACACGTTTCCATCCCTCACGTTCGCCGCGCCTCCCCCCTTTCAAGGATGGCTGGCTGCGAATACCGTTTCCGCCTTTCCTGGAGGGTGAGAATCCGGCTACCAATTCCCGCTGATGGCCCCAGCGTCTCCCGACCCCATCAGCAACGGCACACAGTGTGTCTTTCTGAGTGCCTGCGACTCTCTCCAGCTGAAGCCGCATTCGGAGGAGTTCATTTCCCCTCCTTGGGAACGCAGGGCTCTCGGTGAGTTTGCGCAACTGAATGTATTCATCAAGGACTGCAATGAGGCCATGCGAAATTCTGCGTTACAGCTGAAGAGCTTTTCTGTTTTGCTTTGTTAAGGGCCGTGCGATTATAACGCTGCAGTTCAAAAAGGGAAATTGAATATATCCGGTGGCTAAGAGGGGTGGACTCTGATCTGGAGAACCGGGTTTGACTCCCCACTCCTCCTCCACCTGAAGACTGCTGGGTGACCTTGGGCCAGTCACGGTGCTTCCCAAACTCTCCCAGCCCCACCTGCCTCACAAGTTGCCTGTTGTGTGGGGAGAGGAAAAGAAAGGAGATTGTCCCCGGACTGCATGTTTGACACCCTTGCTCTAAGGCGATACTGGACTCAAATCTAGGTGTTCTGCTCTTGCTGTGTTTTCCCTGATTTTGCTACTTTCATTATTCACGTGAACTACCCACATTAGTATTGGATACGGTCATGATGTACCTATATATATATGCTCAGAATTCTTAATTACTCGCTGAACAAGAAAACAAGAATTACACCCTCAGTACTTTCAAGTATACTACTGTCCAATGTTCCCTCTAAGCTATGGAGTCTTGTGAACAAAAATTCTACTTTGTGGCGTTAAAGTTGTGAGCAAGCGATTTGGCTACTACATAAATTAGTTTGCTCTGGAGCTGTTCTTCCTGAGCGAAGACAAAAATGTGTGAGCCGGAGGCTAAAAAACTGTGAGCTAGCTCACACTGACTCAGCTTAGAGGGAACACTGCTACTGTCCCAGTTTCCCGGTCCCAGGACGAGACCCCCCCACCCCTGGAGACGCACCCACACCCTGACTTACCCCAAAGGCAGCAGAAACACAGGGGAACGATGGCACCACAGCCCCCGAAGGAGACACGGCACAACGACTCAACGCCCCGCGGCTCAGGCGGAGGTCGTAATGCTGGCAGGGCGAGACCCTCACGACAAGCACCATGTTGCCCCACCTCTAGGAGCCCTGGCTCCGGCCCCAGAGAAAGCAAGCTGAGGCCAAACACAGCGGAGCGCCCGAGCACTGGCAGTGGTGGCACAGCCCCTGGGATGCCAGGACCGCCGCCGGCTCACCTGTGACCACACCCCGGATGCCCGGGAAGCGTCCGCCTATATAAATGGGGGCAGGGCTGGATCGGGAGGAAAGGAGGCGGGGAAGAGGGGCGGCCCCACCCACCTCACAGGGTGTCTGTTGTGGGGAGGGGAAGGGAAAGGAGTTTGTAAGCCGCTCTGAGACTCCTCTGGGTAGTGAAGGGCAAGGGGTATAAATCCAATCTCTTCTTCTTCTCTTCTTATGGGATGGATCTCTTTAATGGTTACCCCTACGGATCCAGATAAGTTATCCCACTTTTTCGGCAAGTGGATGGCTCTTGTTTCTTATTGGGAGGGAATAAAATGTCATACAAGTGGGGAAGATTCCCTCCAAGTACAATTTCCTGATACGGTATTGTATTTTATTTGTCTTATAATTAAATTGATTTTTAAAAAAAGGATGTGCTTGCATTGTACATATATACATATACGGCTGCCTTATACTGAATTCGTTCATCAAGTTCAGTGCTGTCGGCTCACACTGGAAGTGGCTCTCCTTAGGCAGTCCTGTTGCCTGCTACTTTAACCTAGAGATGCAAAGGACTGAACCTGGGACCTTCTGCATGCCAAGCAGAGACTCTACCACTGAGCCATGGCTGCTCCCCTCTCATATGAACACAGGAACTACTGGAACAGACCATTGGGGCATCAAGGTCAGTATTGTCTACTTGAGACTGGCAGTGGCTCTCCAGAGTCTCGGGATGAGGTCTTTCCCATCACCTCCTGCCTGGTCCTTTTTAACTGGAGATGCCGGGGACTGAACCTGGGACCTTCTGCATGCCAGGCAGAGGCTCTTCCACACTGAGCCATGGCCCCACTTCATGGCTCTTCAGGGTCTCAGGCTGAGATCTTTCACATCACCTGCTGCCTAGTTCTTTTAACTGGAGATACAGGAGATTGAACCTGGGACCTTCTGCATGCCAAGCAGAGGCTCTGCCACTGAGCCACAGCCCCTCTTCACAGCTCTCCAGGGTCTCAGACAGAGGTCTTTCCCATCACCTCCTGCCTGATCTTTTTAACTAGAGATGCCGGGGATTGAACCTGGGACCTTCTGCATGCCAAGCAGAGGCTCTGCCACTGAGCCACAGCCCCTCTTGACAACTCTCCAGGGTCTCAGGTGGAGGTCTTTCCCATCACCTGCCTGGTCCTTTTTAACTAGAGATGCCAGGGACTGAACCTGGAACCTTCTGCATGCCAAGCAGAGGCTCTTCCACTGAGTCACGGCCCCTCCCCCTTGTGGGGGATACGTGTGAGCTGTGTAGTAGAGAAAATAAATCCATCTTCCCCATGTTTGTATTTTATATTTAGACATGACAGGTTTTCATTTTTTTTCTGGATAAGAATAGATCGGGGCTGGTATATCGCAAAACACGCCGCAGTCAGCCAGGAAGTAATTTCCATTGCTAATAATCCAAACCTACAGAAGGCAAAACAATGAGTGATAAATTACATATATTTTAGCGCTGTTAAGTAAAGTACATTTTGAAAAGTAAATATGAAAAATGGTGATTTATAGCACACGTATATTTTGGCATGCGATGCTGATAATATGTATTTTAACAGTTTATAATGACAGTAATAAATCCAGTGTTGGTTGAACTAAAATGCTTCTACCAATGAAACAATTATTTCTTGACACGCTATCATTTCCCCCAACTAGAGATGTAAATAAACGGGGGGGG